ATGATTACACTTCCAGTTAAAACAACAAAAACTAGTTTAAAACCTTTCAATCAGATAATAGGAAACCTCCCACAAATACAAACCTTGCCAAACTCGATCAGACACATGCACATGTGAAACAATTAAACACCAGAGGAGGACAATGTAATCCACATAAAAATCAACAACAGCAGCAGCAAATCAATAACAAACACATCAAACCTAAAGATGCTAAAACTGCAGAAGTCAATACTACAAGAACTAGAACATATCCAAGAACAAATACAAGGTTGGAAATTCACAGAGATATACACAGATGGATTCATGGAAAAATATAACAACAATCTGGTAAAAATAGAAGTAGGAGGCATAATAATTAACAGGGAAACACTTGAAAAAATAGAATTCAAAGACAGATACGAAGGTTTTCCATTATTCACAAAAGCAGAGTTGATGGCAATACTGATAGCAATAACACTCCTCAATCCAAAAACAGAAGCAATCATATTTACAGACAGCCAGTATGTGATTCAGATGATACAATTATAAACTACAGTGAAACAAAAGATGGCAAAAGGAACAAATATACTTATAACAACTCTCATCCAGGAGAAGATTAGAGATAGAATAGCAATAATAACACTAAAAAAGATTAAAGCACATATAAGAGAAAAATACAATGATCACACAGATTAGCTGGCAAAGGAAAGTAATGAGCTCGACCATATACACATTATAGGTATAAATTGTCAATACATAAAAGGAATGATAGAAATGTTACAATGGAATGGTAAAAACCTGGACATAGAAACCAATGGATTCATAAAGCAATGGCAAAATAGCAAGTGAATCAGTACATGAGCAACACAAAGGAGACACAAAGTATAGCTAAAGATAGGTGATGAGAAAATAATAGATTGGAGAAGAACATAAACAAGCCTGTCACCATCAAAGATTACAAGCTTTTATACCAATTAACAAGATTATAACAACAGAGGGTTCAGACACAAACTACTTAACAAAGAGCTTTCCATCAAGAACAAGCTAAATAAGAAAAGGCCAGACTTATACAAGGATAAAATATGCCCTTGGTGCAATAGATGGGAAACCATAGAACAAGTGTTCAGTGAATACTACAGGAATGAGATTAAAACTATATACTTATAAATATTAAAGGAAGAAATAGCAAGCAGGATAGAAACACAAGAAAGAAGAAAGAATTGGAAGGAACAATTTGAATTCATCATTAATGACTCAGAAAGAATCATCAGGTATATAATCAAGGGAATTTACGAAAAGGACCTTACTAAGCTGGTAGGACAAATTAATGGGGAAAAAATCAAAGATACACTAAGAACTGTTACAAACAGAATGACAAAAAAACTCCAAAAACTCTGGATTCACAAATATAATAGATTTTAACAATGGAAAAAAGAAGAAAACATAAGCAGAAGAGAAAAAAAGAGGAAAAAAACAAAGACTCCAAGTCGATACCCAAGTTACATACACAAGGCAACACAGGTCATCACTTGAAAGAATGGAAGAAGCAAGAAGATTACAAGAAAAACTCTTAAAGAACTGGCTAGACCAGGAAAAAAACATAATCAATTTCAATTTCTTTTATTATTTATACAATAACAATACTAATAAAGCCTTAACACATTAGCCTTGACACATGCTGCAAGATAAGTCAATAATAACAAGCTGATATGGAGTTAAATCGATATAGCAAAACATGTATTTAGAATAATTTATAGATATTAAGTCTTGTAACAAAAAATAAACATGTAAACTAAATAAAGTATATTAGGCAAGGCCTTGCTAGTTGAAAAAAAAAAATTAATTAGTAAATAATTAGTAAAAGATAAGCAAATAATTAATGAATACTAGTAAATAATTATTTCAAATTTTATATTTTTACATTTTTAATAAAGTTATCAAGTATTAATTAAATTTATCGAATATTATTATAAATACAATTTTTTTATTAAAAATATATAATTTGATTTTACCAAAGTATATAATGCTAAATGATTTTGTTAATTTTATAATTAAATAATAAAAAGTTATTTTGAAGACTATAATTTTTATTATAGAATATTGTAACTTTATTGTTGAATATTTTTTAACTAAATATTTTTTTGTCAAGTATTTTTATTGCTGAATGTTTTTATTGTCAAATTATTTTATTTTTAAATGATTTTATTGTTAAATAATTTTATTGTCAAATAATTTTATTGTCAAATGATTTTATTGCCAAATAATTATTTTTTTGTCAAATGTTCTATTTTTTTTGCCAAATTATTGTATATTCTTTAAGTATCAAATGGCATAAATTGGACCAAACAATAAAACTTCAATATAAACTTTATTAATAAATTTAAATTTAATTGGCTATAATTTGATAACCGAATAGTATAATTTGGACTAGTAACAAGTTATAGTTTTTCTTATTACTTATAACAAATATAATTTTTTATATTTTATATCAAATTAAAATATTATAAGTTATAAAACAAATATCAATTAAAATTAATTAAAATAAAAAATAAGTACTATCAATAAATAATATATAATTAAAACCAATATTATATAAATTTTTAGAAAAATAAGTGGGTATATGTGCCTAATAATTCTAATTAATATCTCGCAATCCTAATTGGAGCCCTTTTAATTAATTCTAGTTGTATTGACAAATGCTCTATCTAATTACAAGTTCAATGTGGGATGCAGAAGATAAATTGACAACTATCACTAAAGTATTACATGTGCTATAAAATATTTACTGGTCGGTCCAGGCTTGGAGTAAAATTTTGCCTAGACTTTGGAAACAATATATAGAGTTGGTAAGTGTCAGTTGCTTGACTACTAGATATATACAATATATAATGGCCATAACTGGAAATTAACCTTTCTCAAATTTTTAACAATCCTTCTCAAATTTTGTCCTTAAATTTTTAGAATGAACTCTTTCTGCTAATTCACTGACCAACACTTCAAAATAGTATTCAGACTAAAGCATATCTTTACTTTTAACAAAATCCATATACTCTTTTTAATACAACTTGACAGATCTTGGCAAGATACTCTTATATCCTCCACTGTTTTATTTATTTCTTCAACAAAATAAAAACAAGAAGGCTTTTTAGTTTTTACTCATCCAAACTCCAATGGCAAGAAAGAGTTCTCCAGAAAAAAAGACAATTTATTTGGCTTTCCTTCTTCTTTTCACTGCCATGATATCAGTATCTCTATCAGAAAAAATATCCTGAAAAATTATTGGATATTTTGGTTTCCAGAACCTCCACAACATGAGTACAGCTATCTTTCTAGTGTGTTTTCAAAATTCTTTAGTTTTTCTGAAGAATTTTGCCTATCTCAGTTTAATCCTGAATTTTTGGTTACACCAGATCTGCTGGGTTTTCATTGGCTAAAAATCTGAATTGGACAACAATAAACAAGTAACAGATAAACAAAACAAGAACACATCCCTACCCGTATTACATAATTTTGATAATGTCATTGTTTCAGACAAAAAGAGCAAGATGATGAGATGTCTGTTTTAATATAGTTGAGTTTGCATGTTTACCCCTTTTATTTTCCCCTCTCTTTTCTCTTTCCTTTATTTTTTTCCTATATATATAAATACAAACAAGATGAACAGAATGTTTTTTTCCATGGGGTTTTTGATTTTGATTCATGGTTTGTGAAGGATTACAAACTGTAAACTGCTTAACAAGACCTTCAACATAACTCCCCTTATCGAAAGAATTGTTAAGCTTGTTAGTGATATCTACCATTCTTACCTTTAGTGAAGATACTCAGTTAATAACATTTGCCAGAATGGAAGACTCTCTTCAAGATATAACCTAACTTTGAAAGAGTTGTGCCTTTTTAAATAAGCAGCCTATGCTTGAAGTAAGGTATTATCTAAAGAACTGGATTGTTAACCCCACTATAGATTTTAAGATATTGACTAGATCTAGGTTCCATTTGCTTTTCAAGTTGTAATTCTTTAGGCAGTCACCAAAATGAAAAAATATTTCAAGATACTGGCAAGAATAACAGTATTAGATTTTTATCTGTATATGAAAAGATTGTATTTAGATTATAATAAAACTTTATTTTCTTGGGTGCAAGAAATAAATGACTGAAATCGTACCACTTAGCTAATACAATCACTTTAGAAAGGTAGTGACAATTGAATCTGAAGCCTTGAACAATTGGAATAGATTAATAAAGCTAGGTGCTGAAACTATTTCTCTCTGTTGTGACCTTAAAAGTTGATAAAAAAAAAGTCATCTCTTCTTCCTTTTGAAAAAAACAGAGACATAATACTCTGATAGGTAATCCATTAAGTATTGAGGAATTTTAATAAAAAAGTTTACAAATTTAAAATCGGAAGGTGTAGAAAAGTTGGTTCATAAATAATTTTTTTTTTAGAAATCAGTAGTGCTTAATAAAACTGATCAAGAAATATTGTTGCTTTTGCTAATAATAAGCCTCGCAGTAGAACATAGTTCTTAATGATATTCAAATTACACCATAAATTTAAGTTAGTTAGCCTCTAAGTGCATCAAGTATTGACAAGGAAATTAATGTATATTTATTATAATTTGAATAAAGGTGTAAACCATTCATTTAAAAAAAAATAAATTTTTTTTTAGAAAAATATTTTAATTATTTAAAAAAATAAATGAAAAACAATTTAAAAGATAAAAAATAATATATATATATTTTATATTTTTGTATTTCAATAACAAGAACTATATTAATAAAAATCATGAGAAATGTCTCACTTAAAATAAAATAAAAATTTTTTAAAAAAGAATTTGAACAATGATTTAAATAACAATTACGTTAATTTTTTAATTATTTATTATAGCCATTTGCTCCTTAAAAAAAAAAAAAAAAAATTTATTATATCCCTTAAACTGTAATAAAAATGTATGTTTAAAAAACCGGTTTTAAAAACTGATCTTGATTAACAAAAATTTTAGTTCTCACAAATCCTAACGAAAATGTCTCGACGTATTATAGTTTTAATTTCTGGTAACGGTACTAATCTCCAAGCAATAATTGATGCAGTACAATCGGGAACTCTAGATTGTAAAATTGAATTGGTGGTTTCCAATAAAGAATCCGCGTATGGTCTGACTCGGGCAGCTCAAGCAAACATTTCTACTTTGGTATTCCCTTTGAAGCCATATAAAGACGCAGGGAAACCTCGTGTTGAATATGATGTGGATCTTGCTAAAAAAATAATGTCATATAATCCAGAATTGATCATCCTTGCTGGTTGGATGCACATTTTATCCAAAGATTTCTTAGAATATTTCAACGGTAATATTATCAACTTACATCCCGCCTTACCGGGCAAATTTGACGGCGCACATGCTATCGAACGCGCGTATGAAGCTTTCAAGAGAAATGAAATAACCAATACTGGTGTTATGGTTCATAAAGTAATTCCGGAGGTTGATAAAGGTCAACCATTGCTTATCGAAGAAGTCCCAATATTTGAATCTGATACGTTAGATGATTTAGAAAAACGTATACACTCAGTAGAACATAGATTAATAGTAAGAGGTATATTAAAATTTTTTGAAGACTTGAATCAATAAATTAAACGGATATTAAACAGATCCTTTATGGATAAAATCTGTAAACGACGACATTTCACCCTTAATAAGATTGCATATATACAGATTTGTAAACATTTCAAGTGAAATTAACATGTAAGAGACGCGTCGACGTTTAATAAGTTGTTGCTAAGAAAGATTTTTATATAATAGCTATTACGGTTGTTTTTCTCGCGACTGCCATACTGCATTGATTACGGCGTTGACGTTCGATGAACTTGTTGCTAAGGGATTTCTATATTATAGTTATTAAGAATGTTTATCACGGCTTCTTTATCGCATCAATTATGACGCCTACTTCCGCCTTCTCCCCTGATATTACAAATAGACAATTAGTTACGGTATATTATAATAAAAAAGAAAATTAATTTTCATACTTTTGAGCTGTCTGTACAATAAGATTTGCCTTAAACAAATTCATACGAAGTAACATTGCATTAGTGCTTAGTTCAAACTCATCTCCCATCTTTAAAGACCTTTGAAAAATACTACTCCGATGGTCTTGTTGTTTTGCACAAAGAATCTATGATTGAAAGAAAAGTTTTGTTATTTATAGCAAAAATGAGTGCCAAATATTAAATAATAATAACCTTTTTATGACTATCAATCCGCGCCTGAATGAGATTCTCCGTAATCAACTTGGCTAATTCCTTTTCTAATTTTAAAACATTTGTGCCGAATGATTCAGCCATTTTATTCATATCTACTGTAAGGAAAGGGCTGAAGTATTGTACCAAAGCCTTTTTACGAATGTTATCGTAAAGAGTTTCTACGTGATTGTGTAAATGAATATCAAGCAAAAAATCATTCTGAAGAAAAATAAATATATTATTATTATATATTATTAGAACATCAAGAATAGGATTTTTTTTAAAAAAATACCTTATAGCTTTCCAAACCGGTCAGCACAGAATTATATTTTGAATTGTAAAATCCGTAAATAAGTTCTCGAATGTTTGGTTCAAGCTCAAGGAATTGCTTAAATTCAGCGTTATCAATAACTTGCTTTTTAAGTTGTTTGCGATCAAATGAAGCCAGTGCGCACAAGGCACCATATATTGCTATATCATTGGGTGAGATAACCTGCTCGAAAATATAAACTTGTAAGAAACAATAGCAATAATGTAATAATTACTGACGAATAGATACCTCAGAATATTGGCTTTGAGGTTGAGCGATCTCAAAGCTAGTTTCTAAGAATAAATTAGCTGCTTGCTTATATTTATTATTGTCAAGGTGTGCTAGTGCAGCAGCCACTTTAAGTTTGGCTTGAACGAGTGGTTGGATATCAGGTGTAGACTCGGCTTTTATGACGTAGCTGTGCACATGAGAAAAGTTGCCCAATTCAATGGAAACCTAAAAAATATTGCCTATTTATATGCAATCACCCAAGAAACGTGGATAAAAACTAATAAGAAAATATCAAAAAGAAAAACCTTGATAACATTCAAGCACATCTCTATAACATGCTTTGCCGTAGTACAATAATCTCTGGTTCTAGAATAGCATTTCAATGCATTCGTTAAATTTCCACAGTTATAATAATGATCACCAAGATCGTTATGACCCATCTGAAAACGCCCAATAAACCGTTTAGTTCTTTAGAAAAAATATTAAGAAACTAATTTAATTATTTACCCTTATGCTCTCTTTTATTAAGTTATTCTTATAATTTTTCAGCTCAGCGTCCAATCTTTCTAATAAAGTCTTCGCGCGTTTTTGTGTGGAATCCACCCAACCACTATCAATCGAATATGATGGGTATCCCTGAGCTGTTAAAACTTCATTAAGCTTACTAGCGGATTGAAGATACTTGGCTGTATCTAATGAATTATCGCGTAATTCTTGTAGAGCAAGTCTATAAGCATCAATCTGGAGTGTAGGACATCGTTTTGCTATGAATAGTAGACGATCAACTTTAGTGTGTCCTTGAAAATAAAATGAAATGTGTTAACATGTTAGGCTTGGATCCCTAAAACGAAGGTATGAATTTTCATACCTTTATAGTTAGAAATGTACGACTCTAAGTCCAGGTTGTTTGGTGAATCAACCACTATATCAGTTATACGTTTTCTTTTGGCGACATTATCATCCATTTTTCGCGTTCTCACCGAAAGGTAGTAAACTTAACGGTAAAATTTCAGATTAATGTTTAAAACTATCATTACATGCTGACGTAAAATTTCCGAGGATTGTATCACAACATATAAACTACAGTACATTACTATTGTTAATAAGAATCTGTAATTTTATTTATAATATATTTTTTAAAACTTAAATATATAAAATTTTAATTTTAAAAGTTATCATTTCTTTTTAAGTATAATTTAATAATATATTTTAATATATTTAAAATTTTTTATATATTATTAAATTATACATGTATATTTTTTAATAAAAATAAAAATTTAATTAATTTTATTCTATAATAATTTTTAACTTATAGGTTAATAAATAGTATAGTAATTAAAAAAAAAAAAAACTCTCACCCGTTCACTGCTGATTTTTTGAAAATTTCCTTTTTAGGAAATCTTCTTCCAAGAAGCGTCCTCCTTTCTTTATTTTTTTTTTTTTAAGGCAAATAAGCTTTAAACCTAAAGGACATAAAGACTTTAAGGAACACTGTTGCATTGGGATGGGACCTC